TTCTATACTACAGTAATTAGGCTAAAGGAATTCTAGGTGGAAAGTATGCAGTCACTTATTATGATACTACACATTTATAAATATTGATGCATCAATTATCTAAAATTATGAAAATACTACATTGTAAAGAGGAGGCTAAGATTCCTGATTTTACATACTAATTTTTGATTGAGAAGTAAGAATAATACCTCTAAAGGTAAGGTCTCTAGGTTTTCTTTTGAGACAAGAAAAAACGCAGAATGAGATTTTCCATCTACTCTACATAGCTTTAATTAGGGAGAAAAAGGAAAGAGATTAAAAAAAACTTCTTAATACCTCAGAACAGTATTTCCCAGGAAGTACTCCTCAATGTTATTAGGTATTCTAGAGGAAGAGAAGGGTTTGTTAAACAGATTTCTTTACTAGAAAACTTTTTAGAGCTCCTAATGAGAGATTCTAATATTCACCATCTAAGTGGCAGACAAGATTGTTCAGCTAGACTTATTTGACCATAGTATCATGTTTTTGAAAAGCACTTCCTAAAATGAACCTGTTTTTGAATGTACTTGGAAAATGTTGACTAAAGTAAATTGAAGTTTTCTGCCTAGAGCCCAAATTAGTGTCCATCCCAGTTCAAACTAATTCCACATTAATGTACGCCTCACCAAGAGTCAGGGTATTCTCTCTCTTTTCCCTTCTACCTTCCTCCCCTTATATTCAATATATAGGTTTTTAGTTCTTTCCATTTATCCAGTACTGTGCTAAGTATAATGAGAAAATTATAAACCTACATAATATTTATTCTAGTTGAATTCAATACAATTAGAAAGATAGACATTCTACCCATAATTATTTGTAATTGTTATAAATCAGAAGTTATAAATAGGTTTCAGAGGGACACTGTGCTTAGTTTGGTGGGTTCAGGAAGCACCTGCTTGAGTTCATATTTCTGCTGAGATGTAAATGACAAGTTGGAAATGGATATTTGAAAAGCAAGAGAGCTCCTGAAATAAAGGAAATAAATATACAAATGCTCTGAGTGTAGGAGAGATTTGTTCATCATCACCATCAGCTTAGCAGGCTGGTGTGGATGGAGCAGAGTGGATGGGATAGACAACTACATGCATGGCGTGGCGGAGTCAAGGAGGAAGCAGATTACGCAGGACTTTGAGAGCTACATCAGAGCTTTGGGATTTTAATCGGGAGCAACTGAAAATTATGAAAAGGTTTTAACTAGCCAGTGACAAGATCAGAGTTATCCTTGAAGCGATTACCCTGGATGTTTTGTAGATGACATATTGGAAAAAGCCAAAAGAAAAAAAGACATCTCCATATCCTTCTAGATAAACTCTGCAAGGACAGGGGTATTTTTCCCTCACAAAGATACCCCAGATATTTATGAGAGTACTTGGTACTTGGTAGAAGCCCCATAAATATTTGCTACATAAAAGAGTTAAGGTATGCATCCAGTTAAGACCCTATTTTAGCAATTCAAGTGAAAGCTGTTGGTACATTGGACTTGAAGGTGACAGTGTAGTAATACAATATTTGTGAATAACTATTGACTTCATCTCCCATTACTTTCAATATGTGTGTTTTAATGTGAGGAAATCTTTTGATGGAATATCAGATATTAGCCAGAAATTGACAATATACAGCTTTTGGAGACATGAAGAATTAATAGCAGGTACTGCCTATCATAGGCAGCTGTCTGCTTTGTCCATGAACTTACATAGCGATGTTTAGGTAACTTTTCAATTCCTCATTTTTAATATATAGTCATATCACAATTCCAAGTTCATTTGAACTTTACACATGTCAAGATTTAAACAAACAACCACAGAACCTGTTAAGAATTTCATTTATTATTTTAAATCTATATAGTGTTAAAGATCCACCTTAATTATTGTTCCTAACAGGTATTTATGTTACCCATAAGATTTACACACAAAAAATAAAATTTTAAATGATGCTTCAAATAAAAATGTGGAAAGTGCTTGTTATGGGTTGAATTGTGACCTTCCAGTTCATATGTTGAAGTCCTAAACCCCGTACCTACAAAGCAACCTTGTAGAGAAATAGAATCTTTATAGAATTAAGCTAAAATAAAGACATTAAGGTGGATCTCAATCCAACATGACTGGTGTCCATGTAAAAAGGGAAAATTTAGGGACAGCCACATATACAGGGAGAATGACATGTAAGTATGAAAATCTACAAACCAGAATGGCTTAGAACAGATCCTTCCCTCACAGCCCTGAAAAGGAACCAATCCTATCAATCCTTTGATTTCAGAGTTTTAGCCTCCAGAACTGAGAGTCATTAAATTTCCAACAGTTTCCAGTAGTTTGTTGTGGCAGCCATAGCAAGCTAATGTAATGCCTATAATAGCAGCAACTTTAAGGTTCTATTAACTGTTTTTTATATTGTTTATTCTGGTTGAGTCTGCCAAATTTAGCAACAAATGCTAGTTGCTACTGAGGATGGTGATTAGCTCGGTTGCTTACAAAGACAAATCATATTTAAATCTTTTGAAGTTAGAAAAAGGTGGAAAGCAGGAATAGCAATTGCAGTTTTAGTCAAGTCCTGTTTCTGACTCTATTGTTGTTGGAACTAGAAGGAATATTATTTTTTTATTGAGAAGTTATTTGTTATTCTGTGTGATTATTCAGAATAAATAATATTGGCAAGGTCACTTGAGCTTTAGTTTGAGATGGTGCAAATGTCATATGAATTCTAGGCATTTTGCTTTTCTCAAACAGGTTTTCTTCACTTTAAAGATCAATACACCTGCTTCATTTTATTTACAAAGAAGTCTCTTCACCACAACTGAGCCACCACTTTTAAATGTACAGTCAGCCCTCCATAGGTGCTGGTTCTGCACTCTCAGATTCAACCATCAGAAGATGAAAGATATTTGCGGGGGGAAAAAAAGCTGTGAAAAATAATATGATTTAAAAAATACAAATGAGCAAACAATACAGTATAGCAATTATTTACATAGCATTTACCTTGTTTTAGGTATTATAAGTAATCTAGAGATGATTTAAAGTATATAAGAGGATATACATAGGTTATATGCAAATACTATGCCACTTTATTTCAGAGATTTGAGCATCCACAGATTTTGGTATCCTCAGGGGTTCAGAAGCCAATCTCCTGTGGATATGAAGGGTCAACTGTATATTATAATTAATGGCTGAAATAATGTGACTAAACATTCAAATTTATTTCTTTCTTTATTTTTGGAATTGGAGGATATAAAAATTAAATGATAGTAATACACAAAAAATTAGATATCTTGAATTTAATGTTATTAAATTCTCCAAAGTCTAATGCCATTCCGATTATATTTGTATTTATCCTCAATATATTTTCTATCTTGAATCTAATGTTAGTAAATTCTCCAAAGTCTAATGCCATTCAAATTATATTTGTATTTACCCTCAATATGTTTTCTTAACCAGTAGGTTCAATACATTTAATTTTTTTTCCAGATTTTACACTTTAATTGTAAAAATCATTGTCAATGCAGACACAACAAAAAACTAGTCCCAACTTTACAGTTCTTCAGTTTCTGAAATATTAGCATGTTGGGTTTTTTTTATTCTTTTCAGGGCCTAGAGCTCAGATAGATTCTGTTATGTCAACACATGTTTATAGATTGTTCAGAATCACAGCGTATGTGATAAAAATTACAAGCAAAACTGAAGATGTAACTCTTACTCTAATAAACAGGGAATGTTTTGTAGAATACATTGAACTTGCATTGAAATAAAAAGGAAGCATGTGTGTCTGTGCACCCAAGTGAGTGTGCACACATGCTAAAGGAATAGCGTGAGCACGGCACAAAGTCGTAGTGAGTACATTTTAAGTAAAGATAAGTAGACTCTTTTTGATTCGAACGCAGATTTGATGTTGAGAAGACTTGAGTTACTTTAGATTATGTACGTAAGGAGTGATTACTGGAGGCCTCAAATGCCAGTAGTAAAGATGCTTTTGTTATGTGTTGAATTGTGATCTCCCAGTTGTACCTGAGACTGATCAATAACAGGGGCTATTGCAGAGGATCTAGAGCCTTGCTTCCATCCTAGGTCAACGTTTACTGCTCATTGCACTCCAAGCTTTTACATTGTTTTACTTTTATAGTGATACAAGAGTGCTAGTAAGGGAAGGGCGTAGTCCCTTTAAATGACAGGGAAGCAGGGAAGGGAAGTGTTAGGTAGAGGAGGGTGTGGTCCCTGGCTAGGATTCCACTCCCAGTGGCCTAGGTGAGGAGAGGTGTTTCTGCCTTTGCGCCCAAATGTTGCATTTTCCAAGACCACCCTGGCCCACCATACCCTCATCCTGGGCCTATAAAAACTTGAAACCCTAGCAAGGCAGAAACAGAAGCTGCTGGATAGTGAGAGGAACACATCGGCAGAAAAAGACAAGTGGCTTGACATTGAGAGGATGTACAGCGGAGCACACCTATGGAAGAGCACACCAAGACCTGACCGCCTAGCAGAACATCAATGAGCTGGACAAGGTGGAGTTTGGCTGGCGAAGTCACAGGACAGCCAGCGGCCCCAAGCAGCCAACTCCAGGGGAAGACCATCTCCCTACTGGCTTCCCTTTCGCTGACAGCTACTTCCACTCAATAAAACTTTACATTTATTCTCCAAGCCTACGTGTGATCCGATTTGTCTGGTACACCAAGGCAAGAACCCAGGATACAGAAAGCCCTCTGTCCTTGCTGTAAGGTATAAGGTCTAATCGAGCTGGTTAACACAAGCAGCCTATAGATAGCAAACTAAAAGAACACCCTGTAACACACGCCCACTGGGGCTTCAGGAGCGTACACATTCACCCCTAGACACTGCTGGGGTCAGAGCCCCACAGCCTGCCCATTTCTATGCTCCCCTAGAGGTTTGAGCAGCGGAAGTGAGCCACACCCCCATCGCCCTCCATTCGAGGGGGACAGGGGAACCTTTCCCGTTTCAGCAGCATGTATTGCTCTATCAGACGTTGTTACAACGTCATTTGTTTAAATAGTTTTATTGAAATGTTTACATTTTTAATGATCTTTCTCCCCAGGCAAAATGCCCGACTGCCAAGAAAGAACTATTCTGTTCAACTATTACTTCCTCATATTAGGGTGGTGCAAAAGTAATTGCAGTTTCTGATTGTGAATTTGAAATCATTATAACTAGGTTCAGGCACATCTTTATTAATCAAAATAGGAACCATTACAATAACAAATTTTTGCCAATGAAAAATAAGTTCGTTTATTCCTGCAGCATATAAATCCGTGCTTCAGGACTCAGTGAGCTCTTGGAAAGCACTTTCTGCATTCTGGTTGTGGAAATGTTTTCCTTGCAAAAAGTTGTGGAGATGCTTGAAGAAGTGGTAGTCGGTTGGTAAGAGGTAGGTGAATATGGTGGATGAGGCAAAACTTCAGAGCACAATTCGTTCAACTTTTGAAGCATTGGTTGTGTGACATGTGGTCATGCGTTGTTGAGAAGAATTGTGCCCTTTCTGTTGACCAATGCTGAGTGCAGTTGTTGAAGTTTTCAGTGTATCTCATTGATTTGCTGAGCATACTTCTCAAATGTAATGGTTTTGCCAGGATTCAGAAAGCACTAGTGTATCATAACAGCAGCAGACTACCAAACGGTGACCATGACCATTTTTTTTGGTGTAAGTTTGGCTTCTGGAAGTGCTTTGGAGCTTCTTGGTCTAGCCACTGAGCCAGTCATCACTGGTCATCATATAAAATCCACTTTGCATTGCATGTAACAATCTGATTGAAAAATGATTTGTTTTTGTTGCATAGAATAAGAGAAGATGACACTTCAAAATGACATTTTAAACAAAATTTCACTTGGCTCATGAGGAATCCACTGACCAAGCTTTTTCAACTTTCCAGTTGGCTTCAAATGACACACAACTATAGAATGGTCAACATTTAGTTCCTTGGCAACATCTCATGTAGTTGTAAGAGGATCAGCTTTCATGGTTGCTCTCAATTGATCATTGTCAACTTCTGATAGCCGGCCACAACGTTCCTCATCTTCAAAGCTCTCCTCTCTTTTGCAAAACTTCTTGAACCACCACTGCACTGCATATTCATTAGCAGTTCCTGCACCAAATGCTTTGTTGCTTTTGCCAGTTGTCTCCGCTGCTTTACAACCCATTTTGAACTCAAATAAGAAAATCACTAGAATTTGATTTTTGTCTAACATCATTGCCATCATCTAAAATAAACATAAAATAAACAGCAAGTAATAAGTCATTAGCAAAAAAAATAAAGTGAGAAATGCCCATTAAAATGATGTATAACCTAACCACATTTATTTAAGAATGTATTCAAATATTAAACAGCAAATTACAACAATGTAAAAACCACAATTACTTTTGCCCTCATACTTAGAACCATGCCTGGGGGATTATAAAAACTCAATAAAAATGTGTTGATTGGATGAATGAGTGACCTTGAACAACTGCTTAGTGTATTTCTAACTTGCTTTCCTTATATTGATATGGCAGTGATGATGATTATATTAATAACAATCATAGTAATGACACATAGTGGTATGATAAGGCTTACACATAGATGCATCTAGCACAGTGCTTTTCACTTAAGTGCTCAATAATTTTCATTTGTATTTTTTGAGAGAGTATCTAGCTCTGTCACACAGGCTGGTGTGCAGTGGCAAGATCTTGGCTCATTGTATCCTCTGCCTCCTGGGCTCAAGCAATCCTCTCACCTTAGCCTCCCAAGGAACTGAGATTACAGGTGCATGCCACTAAATAAGGTTAATTTTTTAATTTTTTGTAGAGATAAGGTTTTGTCATGTTGCCCAGGCTGGCCTTTAACTCCTGAGCTCAAGCGATCTACCTGTCTCAGCCTCCCAAAGTCCTTGGATTACAGGTGTAAGCCACTGTGCCTGGCCTAGGCTCAACAAATTTGGACACTTTTTGCTTGTTGCAGATTCTTTCATTGAGACCAATATAAAAAAAATTCTAAAGTAAGTCTTGATTTCAGAATGTTGATTATTCTCAAAACAAGTAAGAATCCCAGGGGTGTAATAAGCACATAGTTAGTTCTAGGCTTCAAGAAACAAAACATTTATTTGAAATTAGTCCAAGATATAAAAGTAAGAAACAGAAAAAGATAATGCATGAATTGCAGGATCCAGAACACATTAAAGAGCTGGGGAAAAAAAAGTATATATATACCTCCCTGATATATGTATATATATCAGTGAGAACAGGACAAGAGAATCAGAGAACGCTTCATGGGAGAGGAATGGATTTGAACTTGGGATTGAAAAATTGGCCTGATCTATATAAATGAAGAGGAAAGGAGCAGACAGACCATGGAAGAGGATCAAGGCAAAGAAGTGCAGAGTTCAGTTGGAATGACTATGGTATGCCCATATGATCAGAAGTTGGGGGATGTCAACAAAAAACAAAAAAGCAGGCCTTTGGGAGAGGATAGCTTTGCCTATGTGAGAAACCTATCCTTCAGTAAATCTAAGGGACATAGAAAATAAGGCAAAAGACTTTTATTTTGTTGTAAAAAAAAAAAAACAACTATAGTTACTGAAATCATTTTGAGTTTGGTGTGTGTGTATGTGTGTGCACTCACACACATAATCAAGTGTCATAAAGTCACCCAGGAGTATTGGAATTAAGAAGTTGGAGTCAGGAAAGCTAGATAGCAGACCAGCCTATTTCAGCCTACTTTTATGACCTCTATCACATTTGCTCTTTCCCTCTTCTTTACTGTCAGCATGATCATTCTAAGAGAGAGACATGATTATGTACTTCTGCTCAAATTCTGGTACCTCCCCTACTTTTCAGGGAGTCAAGTCCAAACTCCTTAGCAAGTTATTCAAAGTTGATAGTAAACTAGGTTCAAAAATCTTTCCTGCCTCATCTCCTAGTAGATCTTCTAAACCTAAACGAGTTTTATAAACTCTGTGCCCCACAAAGACACACCAAAATTCTACCCATCCCTTTAAACAACATAAATATTTACAGCTTGGAATAGATTTCTCTTTCTATTACGCCTCATATGGCCTTCAACTCATCTTTCAAGACACATCTCAAATGCTGCCTTTCCTATGAAGCCTTTTCTAACATTGTCCCCTCCCTGTGCTTCTCTGAGCTCTCTCTTTTCTCTTTCCAATACAACTGATACATATTGCACTTGTAACATTAAACTTATTTTGATTTTGTGTTTATATTTCTATTTCTTAGGTTAAATCACGAGGTTCTTGAAGGTCACGTGACTTTGTAACTGTAGTGCTTAGCACGGTAATGGCATATGGTAAGAAATTCATAGACTAAAAAGCATTAGAAAAACTTACATTTTGAGTTTCCCTTAACTTACATTAAAATATAAGTTGCAACTTAAACTTACATGTTGAGTGAAAAAATGGTGTTACTACATAGAACAATAAGGTCATGATTAAAAATGAGACTGATTTAGAATAGATGGCAAGTTTAGTGTTAACTTCTTAAATTGGATATGTCAGAGGGTTATTTGAGAGAAAATATTCTGATATGCTTGGAAAAAGAGGGATAGCTCCTGAGCTAGAGAACCACACATTGGGCAAGCATATTTTTAGAGATGACCACTGAAAAACATGAGGAGTGGGCTCTAGAAAAAGAACATGAAAGGAAACAAACATCTGATTAGAACCTGGCCTTGTGTTATGATGGAAACAGTGAAGTTACTAGATCAGGAAGCAGTGACCAAGAGTAATTGGAGAGGTGGAAGGAGAATTAGGATGGTGTGATACAGAGGCCCTGGGCAAGAACACATTCAACAAATCAACACTATCAAATGCCCCTAAGAGATCAAGGGAAATGAAGCTGAGAAATAATCAGAATAAAATTGCTAATTTTAGAGCAAGATTTCAGCAATTTGATTGGTAGAGAAGATGTGGAATTCAGATAACAAAGAAAGTTGTTGAGCAGGAACTGGTATTTTTGGCTTTCAGTCATGTTTACAACTTCAAAAATGGGAAAAAGAGCATTGCTAAATATAAGTGTCCTATCTATAGGGTTTTTAAAAATATGATGGCACTGCATTTTAAAGACTGAGTTTCTAATTTCAAGTTCAGTTATAGAAAAAATAGAACATTGGGAGTTTGGAAACTCCCAGAATGAGATTTTATTCCTTCACTGGTCATGTATGAAGACTCCAGAGTTTAGAATTTCCTTCACAAACCTTACTTTTCTTATGGGTAGTTCTACCCATGGACATATTTTTCTATGTATAATCTTTAAAAGAGTTAGACTTTGTGGGTGAGGTATATAGAAGTTGTGAGAGCAGCGTTTCCCAAGGTATGTTCAATGGAGCACTAGTACATAGTTTAATAGCTGTTATATGAAAAAAAAAAATACCCTAGTCAAACATATTTTTGAAATGCAAGTTAAAACAAACTCAAACACTTTCTTTACTGCAGGACTCCTCATAACCTCTATTAGTGTGCAACTGTGAATATGAAGGAAGTATTTAGGGTAGCAGTTGTTTTCAAAACACTTTTGACCAAGGTATCATTTTTGTCGTGAAACTCACCTTTGGACATGCTGAGCAGAATGTGTTTTATTTAACATTTTCCAGCTCCTTTTATCTCAAAGTAAATGTTGCATGATATTTACATGTTATATAATAAGCATAAAAAAATCAGTAATAATAATAATATATACATACAGGAACTGCAAGTTTTTTTCCCCTCCCTCCCTCCCTCGGTCCCTTCCTTCCCTGGGACTGTGTTAGACTTCCCAGGGTCCCCTGTTGGGCGGGGGGAGCATTGTTTAAAGTGCAGGAATTCTCCAGTTCTTCCTCGCCCCCCACCCAGCTAGGGCTCTTTGTTCATTTTCCTGCTGCAGCCCAGGTAGAGCTCTTTGTTTCACCTTCCCACCCAGACATGCCAGGTAGGGCCCTTTGTCTCTGAATTTCCCACGCTGGCTCTTGGAGGAGGGAGCTCTGTGACTCAGGGTTATAAAACAAGTAGCCAATCTGGTAACAGAGTCGAAGATTAGTCAATCCAGAGGATGTTTGAAAGAACTCCTCTCATTGGATGAGAACATGAATGGGGAGGGAATAACTCAAGTGTAAAAACTCCAGCGTAGCTGCCTAGACAGTATCCTTTTTCTGGATCCCCTTCCATGAAAGCATGGGAGCTGTCTTTTCACTCTGCCTAATAATCTAAACTTTCGCACACACTCTTTGGGTCCATGAGTTCTATTTGAACGGTAAAACTTATCGTGCCTCTGGGGCCCCTTTCCCCATTCTTCCGGGGTTAGGAAGATCAAGAACCTAAGCTTCACCTGCAGTGGTGGCCTAGTGGTAAGGACTCCTCGTTTTCACACAAGCAGCCTGTGTTTGACTCCCAGTATGGGAACCAAGGAATTTGGCTGTAGTTTTACTCCTCTGGTAACCCTCCCTCCCTCCTTTCCTCCCTCCTTCCCTCTTTTCTTTCCCTCCTTCCTTCCCTCCTTTATTCCTTCCTTCTTCCACAAGAATTTGAGGTAAGTCCATAGAATAGAGGGAAAACAAGTTTATTAGAGAAGTAAAGAAACGAATGACTACTCCATAGGCAGAGCAGCAGTATGAACTGACCGACTGAGTACACTTATAGTTATTTCTTGATTATATGCTAAACAAGGGGTGGATTATTCCTGAGTTTTCTGGGAAAGAGGTAGGCAATTTCCAAAACTGAGGGTTCCTCCTGCTTTCACACTGTACAGGGTAACTTCTGGATACTGCCATGTAGACTGTCATGGTCTGGTGGGAGTGTCTTTTTGCCTGCTAATGCGTTATAATTAGCATATAATGAGCAGTGATGATGACCATAGGCCACTTTTGTTGCCATCTGAGTTTTGGGTTTTGGCCAGTTTCTTTACCACATCCTGTTCTATCAGCAGGGTCTTTGTAACCTGTATCTTGTGTTGACCTCCTATCTCATCCTACGTTTAAGAATGCCTGACTTCCTGGGAATGCAGCCCAGTAGGTCTCAGCCTTATTTTACCCAGCCCCAACTCAAGATGGTGTGGATGCCTATCTCCCTCCCTCCCTCCCTTCCTCCCTTCCATTTCCTTCCTTCCTTCCCCTCTTCCTTCCTCCTTCCTCCCTCCCTCCCTCAGTATTGGGGTTCAGGGTGCCTTTAGCTCCCTTGAGAGGGTGTTTCTCCAGGTTCTTGGCCTACTGCCCTCTCAAGAATGAGAGAGGAGACCATGGCACAGCGTACAGTAAATGCTGGATTCAAAAGTGTTTGTTGAAAGTGATTTATTTAAAGAGAGAGAAACAGGAGAAGGAGAGAGAAAGAAACAGCTAATCCTCACACTGAGCGAATCCAGAAAGATGGAATCCAGGAGAGGAAAGCAGCTTCCATACTGAGTGGAAGGGAACACAGAGAGAGATGGAGTTTAAGAGGGAAAGACAGGCTTCCATGAGAGAGTGTGGAAGGGGCCTCCAGGGGGAAAATCCAGGAGAGAGAAAAACAGCTTCCACGAAGGGAGTGTTTGTGGAAGGGGACCCAAACATTTGGAATCTGAAGGGATGTGGAAGACGGGGACTTTTAACCTGGGAGGAACCCCCATGTTCTCTAAGACCCCAGGCCAATGAAAGGAGTTCCTTAGAACTTCCGCTGGAGTGATTGATTCTTAGTTTCTTCCCACGCCCGCAAAATTCAAACATAAACCCTTAAATCTCCCAGATGGAGAGAGATGGGAAGGGGGGGCGTGGCACTAGGAAGTTCTTGCCCTTTAAACTATGCCCCCTTGTGGACCTGGAGGGAGAACACCTTCCCTCTCTCCCTCCCTCCCTCTCTTCCTTCCTTCCTTCCTTCCTCTCTCCCTTCCTTTTCTTCCCTTCCTTCTTTCCCTCCCTTCCTCCTCTCCCTCCTTCCTTCCTTTCTTCCTTCCATCCTTCAATGCTCTAATTAGATTGTTTCAATGAACTCTTTAATTTTCATTTAAAATAAAGAACTTGTACCAGCAAATTAGATTTCAACTGTAACTATATACTGAAAAAATTATAAAGTAACTCTCAGGAAACATCATTAACAAAATCTGTGGGACTGCGATATCTAAATTTTCTCATTTCCAGTTTGTAAGCTCTTGTACTTTAGGGCTCTAAATTTCTTTGAAAACATGTGAGAGTTTGAGGTACTGGCATGCATAAAATTCTTTAGTAAAACAGGAATATTGAATATGCTTTTAACTTTAACACTAAGCATTTCTACGATTGCCTCACACTTTTTTTTTATTGGCTATTGGTTGCAGTGGATTCACGAGGAGGACATATGTTCTTAGCAAAGACGTGTAGGACGATTCTGCGTTACATCACCACCACCCACCTTCATTTAAGCTCTGGAAAAAGACAAGCTCTTCCAAATGTTTCCAATTTTTATTCTGCTTTACTCTCATATAGATACTTCTCCGGAATGTTCTTATCTCATCCACCATGATTTTTCTGTCCTTCAGCTTTGTTCCTCCGCCCTTCACAGAAGTTAAATGGTCAGCACCTCTCACGGCAGCCTCTGGATCCATGTTTCCCATATTGTGCCCCTCACCACTTCTCCCGTTTTTGTGGCAGTTTCCGCAGTGAGCAGAAGCTTGTTTCATATCAAAGTCACTTAAGTCACTTATGTTTTCTCTGCTTCTGATTCACAGCTTTTATCTACCTTGCAGTGCTTTTCTGGAATATGTTTGGCTTGCCCAGGTTTGCTAAAGCCACAAAGAAACCCCAGCATCATCTATCTGAATGATTCTGATTGTTTTTTTTAAAAAACCCGTTGGCTTTGTGAAATCCACCTTTTCAAATTCAAGGTAAATTGGCCCCTTGCAATCCTGCATTCCTGTGGTCTGAAATGCTTCTTGATACGCAAGTGTAGCAGGAAGGCACGGGAATGCCTGGGCCAAGCAGTGACCAGCTGCTCTGTGCTGTTAGGGGACTTCAACCATAGTGCTGGTGACAAGAAGCCCTTATGGGAAATAAGGGCTTCTTGCCCTTTCCTGGCCTCTACTGTCTTCCCTAGAAACAAAGATAAAGGACACCTCTTTCCATAAATAGACAACTACTTCAGATGGAGTTAGTCAGACAGAAGTCACAAGATGACTCAAAATACCTATTTCACAGGCATAAAATACTGTTAGTGATTGAGATATAAAAGAGTCAGCTTTAAGTGTTTCATTAAAATCACGGCAAATACTGTGCATAACGATTTACCAAGAACTCATGATGCTGCTTGTTTAATAAATGAAGTTCATCTATAGTAAACAGCTTGGTGAAACCAAAGAGGCTCTAATCAAAATGGGGACAGATGAGTTTTGTGCATGCAGCTTATTTCATTAATTTACTACTGTTTAGGGTTCATAGGCAATGGCCAATTGATATTATTTGTGACAACACTAAATAAAATAAGTAAAGGAAAATAAGTTGCATGATGTATTGCAGAGATAAATCACACCCCGGTAAGTGGGGAGCTGAAACCCTCCAGCAGAAGCACTTAGCACACTTCATTTGATTCCCATTCGTCAGCCTCAGTGCCGGTGGCTCAAAAAGAATGCAAAGGTAAACGAACACCAGAATATGCTTTACAGTACTGGAAAACAGTCCTACCCAAATAAATCAAGGTTCCACTTCATTTCAGGCATTGGTTTATTCATAATACAGGACTTTTACAATCAAGCCCTGCCAATTGTAAACAAACCGCAACAAAACACACACCTGCACTAAGAGATAGGCATGATACTGTGTATGCATAGAGAACCAAAGAGGTTTAAAAATAACTGCAGCTATTCGGCAGACTGAAAAAGGAAACGGGCAGCACATTTTAAAAGACCTTGTTGGTTTGAGCGGTAATGTTGCAGTCTGCTTACATGATTAGGACAGGAAAAGCCACATCCACTTTCAGAATATACAGATTTAGAAATGTTCAACCAGACCATTCCTATACATAGCTTTGTTAAAACTCCTGGGAAGACTATCACCAAGTTCCATTCATATTCAAGATTTTAAGAATTGAGCTAGGGTAGAGATAAAAGAAGAGGGAGAGCAATCAGTGAATAGGAGAATCTATTAAATCGGGTGTCTTCTAAAATGACTTAATTTCATTTTCATTTTAGGCTCCATAAGATTTTAACTGCCACCTTGCTACTGGGGAGCTTGTCATCTGATGTAAACCAAAAATAACAAAGGAAGAAACTGAAGGGTTTCTGCCGTAAACATCTCTCCTCAGCTAAATATAAGTGATTGCATATTGCAAACATAATTCTGTGTTGATTTTTTATTAATAATAAACCTAAAAGAAAAAAAAAATTGAAAACAAAAGAAATGAAAGGAAAACCTTAAAATTACAGTGTTTTGGAACTGGAAAGAACTTCCTTACAGAGCATTTAGAAGTCTAATTACCAAATTCTGCAAAAATAATCTTAGGATTTAAATAAATGAGTAAGCCAAGGTCACAACATTGGTTAATGACAGAGCGAAACTCCAGCTCAAGGACTTCAAAATCTTTAAAAAGTTTATGCACAAATATGTTGAAACCTTTATATCCTACAGTTTTTTTGTGTGTGATAGGCAAAATACACAGATAAATGTTTTATGTTCTTACATGCCCTGTGTATATGCATGGGTGTGTGCTCACATGTGTATATCATAGATTTTTTTATACATATGTGTATGTCATGGATTTTTTTTAATTTTAGGTTTTTTTTTTTTTTTTGCTTTTCTTACAGACTTACAGCAATGTTTTATTTGATTTCATTACATTCAAGCAGTTTTTCCAAGAAGCATTTAGTGTGGTTTCCAACATGGAAGTGTCCTCCCTGAGGCTGTTGTTGCACTTAAATGCTTTTTTCCCCCACCTTCTTGTTTGTGTCCTAAGAAAGACATACTGGACCGACCGGTTGTCTGCTTAGTGCCGTGTCTCCAAAGGTTGTACATATATTGTGTTTCCTCTAACAAGCCTACAAAGCAACTGCCTAGAGAAGCATTTAAAACCAAGTGCAGTCTTTTTTATAAAATATCTTTCCTGGGAGAGAATGTAATATTTTTAGTATTTATACTGCAGATACTGCTTATATTATTGAAAGTTAATATTTTATCCCTAGTTGCAGAGGTATTACAAATTACCAAACCTATACAACCATGCTGCCTGAAGTTAAGATTATACATTGCTGAGGTTTAAATAGGTGTTTTCCTAAGAGCAGCATTCTCCATAGAAAACAAGTTTTCAGAAGGAGAGCAGAAACAGTTGGGTTTTCATTCTATTATCGTTGAAATTGCACTTCTTTTTGTTAATGATTGAATAAATCAGAACTTCAGTGGTGTACTCTCAGCATTTTCTTCTATTTATTCCATCTGTTAGGGGAAAGCACCAGCATCTTGAGAAATAACCCACTTTATAGTCAAAAAGTATAGTCTGCAAATTTAAGCTGTTTATTGTGGGATAAAAATAACCATAAAACAAACAAGCTCTCCTTGAATATTTGTGCCCCTGATTGGAGAGCTCTTCCATACCCTTGAAGGCTTTTGGCTATAAAACACCCAGAAAAACAATTTCTCACAGTCCTTGCTCATATGTAGGAAGCTGTTTCCTCTCATTCTGATTAACTTGACTGCAGGTTTGCCTGGGGATTAAATAAACTAGCTAACTTCCAAAACCCTTCCCAGGGAGGGAAGGTCTCTTCTGCCTCTTATCTATTTCAGTGTCAGCCTGTAACACGCAGGCAGGAGGATGGAGATGGGGTTGGGAGCAGGATAACTTGGTGGGAACTGAACACAGAAATAAAACCCAAAAGAACATGGAGGCTTTCCGTAGCACTGCTGGAAAATAGGATTGCCGCCTACCCCTCCTGGTTCATGTTTTCTCTACCTGTTACAAGTCATTTATTTTTATCACACCTTTAATGGCAGTGACCTATAGAAAGGGCTTTTATCTGGGCCATGATAAACTAAGAAAATAAAAAAAGAACTTAGAATTATAGTAGTTTAGTTAACCATCAAGGAAATAAGAGAAGTTAAGTTTTCATAAGGAAAGATAAGTTATTTTTTAAATGAATGTTCTAAACAAAACAGTATAATGTACGACAACAGGAAGAAAATCTAAGTGAGCATTGCCTCTAACTATGATTGATTCACCAAATATGCATTAAACATTGAGCCATGTGTAAGCTTCACTTCTTTGTCTTTTCAGAGTTCAAATGCTACGATTACTATAAATATCTATATACTTCAAGTTTTACAGGTTAGTAACTTAATATATTCTATTAACCGAGGTTAAATATTTTCCCCAAATTTCCAATGCTTAAACATATCAGTATTTTGAATGACAGAGAGGCTGGCATAACAATTTTGTTTTCTTTCTTCTATTTATCTGATACTAAAGCTTCAGGGGGATTGCTAAGTTTTTCTTCCAAACATGCTTGCAGGTTATTTCCTTGTTTGGCAAGGGAATGAAATTTACCATCACTTGGGAAAATTCTAAAGTCAAGCTGTGAAACTGAACAAAATTTTCATCAGCAAAAATTGAGTTTGAAAAACATGTGTTTCCCCTTTGGTAACAGGAGGATGCGAGGTAGATAGGAAGCAGGATTGGAGAGTTTAAGCCTTCATTATTCTTTCCTGTGTAACTTCGGCAGCAAGGAAGAGAAAGAAAAGAATGCCAGCTGCAGTGCCCAAAGCAAAATCTTTATGAGTGAGTGATGGAACTCTGAGAGCAAACCAGGTGTCCACTCCTTGATCTTAACACACATCATTTGTATACACAGCAGAAAAGGAAAGACAAGCCAAGAAGGACAGATCCCTGGGGAACAACGAAAAAGAATGTAGAGTGAGGAATCTTAAGAGGCTGTGGGTCCTTGTAGTGTGTTCACACAGGCATGCTGAACAGTAGGTCCAAGATTATATTTTCATAAAGGAAATAGCATAATTGGCTATTTTCTAAAGTCACGTAAGCCCAGCCCAAAGGATATGTTTTCAGGGTAACAGTAGCTTAAATTTTTATAGCACTTTATATTATCTTGTTTGATCTCATCTGATCTACGCAACAAGTCTGTAAGATAGGTTACAATTATTCAGTTAGAATTTAATAGTAGAAAGGTTAAATCACTTTCCTATGAGCTAGAATCAGGCTGGCAGTCTGTTGCTATAATTTCTTGTATGAAATTTTACTGAACCAAGCAGATTTATACTAAAAAGGAAAATTCACAACCCCATTATTCTCAGAATAAATACAAAAGGGTTATCTAGCTTGCAATGAAGAAAACATCTTTTATAAGCATCGATATTATGAACTTAAAGTAAAATACAGAAAATTGGAGTGAGTGCTCTTTCTGGTGATCACACCCTTAGGGTCAGTTTAGTCCATCCTTGTTACATAAATATATGGTAACTTTCATGTTCCATTGTTCAAATGTATCATTCATGACTATCTTTTTACTCCTGGTTGCTGACTTTAGACTGTAGACCTTACCCTTACATGAGAGAGAAGAGCAACCATATCATCGTCATTATCATAGAAAACATTTAGTGAGGCCTCAATCTGTGCACCTGTTGTTTTGCAAAGTGGGTTGTTAGACATGGTTCCTGTCCACTGGGATCTTAAAGACAAAGGAAAGGACACACAGACAACTAAACAAGCAATGAGACTTGTACACAGGCACATATGTGCTAGCTCCTATTTGCCTATGGAAATGTCGGCTTTGTAGATTCAAGTTAATGATGTTTTGCTTTTGTCAATCCATTATGAATTGTCAGCTATTAAAATCTGGCCCCAAGTGGGATCTCAGCACAGTGACTTGCCTGATCCTGCTGTTCTGTTGTGTAGGTTAAGATCTCAATGTTCCTATCAAGCTTCAGGGAATTCTTAGCTTGTAAAGACTGTGCATTCAGGTCACTGATGTTTCAAGAAACAGCTTAGCCAAACACTCATTTTTTTTTTCTTAAATTTTAAAAAGTTAGTTTAACAATTAGGAAACCAAATCATCTGCTAGCTTCTCAGAAAATAGAATTTAGGGGAACTTTATGAATTGAAATGAAGCTTAAAACAATTTCTATTTTGAACTCTGATAAACTTGAGACAAAATATAGCTTTCCTTTTTTCAGTTCTCAGCACTATGAGAAGCCTTATTTCTATCTTAGGAATCCTTAAATCATTAAAAATGTGTTATGCTTCATGGCATCATTTGATGCATAAATATGGATAGGAGTAAGAAAATAGGAAGACTGCCAATCTTCACCTCTAAAATTTTGTTTGTGATATGACACCTATGCACAACAATGCACTAAGTGCTATACATAATCTCATTTAATATTCACAATTGGTGCATAGAAGAGAAATGATTTTACCATATCCCACCCTCCTTTTTACTGATGAAAAAATGCTAAATGAGTTGATCTAGGCTGCACAAAGAGTAATAATTACCAACAATGTTCAAACCACAATTTATCTGACTCCAAAGTTCATATATTTAATCTGTACCTATCTACTTTATATAATAATTCTAAAAGGATGCACGTCTTTAACTTTTTCTTTCAGAGAAAGTATATCTTTTTGGAATGCATTGACTATTGAGTACTCTAAGGGCAGAGTGTACCACAGGCCTCCCTTTTGTGTCTTCTCAGCCCCATCTGTGCCACCAGTCGGCTGCAGCATGCAGTCCAGCATAGGTGCTGGCCAAGCTCACACAGGTGAACCTGACAGGGTCCTTCTCAGGCTCCACAAGGCCTCCCTGATGCTGCTGCATGGCATGTCTATGCCAATCACACAACTTAGTGTGGGGAAGTTCACGTCCATTAGGTTAGACTTGACAGCTGGAGAGCCAGCGCCCACAGAAAAAAATCATCCCCCTTCTATCTTTCAGGTTAATAATTCTAAGATATGTTTCATAAGCTTCCTTAGAGAGTCTGGCAGGATGGAACACCATTTGCCTATAGTGGTGGCCGATCTATTCATGTTTAGTGTGGCTTTCTCTCCTGCATTTCATTCTCTCTCTCATTCCTGTCCCTTGGGTTCTTATTCATAATAAATGGTCTGCATGCAAGCTCTTTTTCCAGTTTATGCAGAGTACTTCAAGCTAAGACACAGGTAATTTGTTTTACTAATTATTATATCCCCATCTTCTAGTAATATATCTGACAGAGTATGTGTGTGTGTGTATATATATATATATAAAATCAATGATGATAAAACTGAATTTTTTTTCTTGTATTTTTACATTGCCTAAAATGTGCTTGGGTTAAAGAGAGTTAAGATTTTTTTTTTCCCACAATTGAGAAACTGTAATGATGCTTACTTGTTGCCATGGATGTGTTGCCTTGGAAGCTGAGGAATTGGACAGGGTTGAATCCATTCTGGTCATTTCAAGGGGTGTTAAATGGGCATGCACATCCAGAAAATGTCTAATTCCTTGATGCTAACATCAATGTAATCAGCACTATTATTTTCTAATTGTAAATGCCATAGTCCTATTACTGAAATTTGTAACACAACTTTTATCAATCACTCCTTTTTCCCCCTACTATAAAGTGAATACTGTAGTAAATTCCTTGCTTTTTCAGATATGGATAATTATTTTTAAGCAACCAGATAGCTCATACTCTAAATTGAAATAAGCCCATCTTATTGATCCATATCCAATTTGTCATCAGATAGGTATCAGCCTTTAAGAATAGAATCATAACTAGGATTAATTAAAACAATTTAAGAAGATCTTGTAAGGGAAGCCAAACAGTGAAAAGCTGTTGAAATTGAACCCGTTCTCTGTGTTACTTCCTGATCAATGTTTTCAACGCCTGTGGGCTTTCTGGCAATAAAGTGTTCTGGTGTCAAGGATTACAACTGGGCTCCCTTCAAGAGCAATAAATCCACTTAAAAATATGTAAATGTGTTTCATATACCACTGACCCGGAGGTGAAAAGTTCTATATCAAATTACTAACAGCCTGAGATACCCATTCTCCTATTCTGACTCTAATTAAAAAGGGCTGAAAAACAAGCTATGTATGAATGTTCATTTATAGTACAGTAAAAAAGTAAAGATTTACTAAGTGTTACTCTCCACACAAAGCTGCAACTACAGCCAACCAGGAGGAAAGGAGACTTTAATGTTTCTTCTAAATAGAACATGCTTTTCCAATTTAAAAAAAAAAATCACAACCATAATCCAAGAACTTGTCACTTTATGTCAATCTTTTGTGAAAACTTTCTATTTGGATTCCCTGAGTCTTAAAGAGTTTCCTTCATGGATTTTCATGCTGCTAGAGTAACCATTCTGAATGTTGTGATGCACATGATATTCCTATATCTTCAAATTGGCAGGAATTCACCATTGCCCAGGGTAGATCATTTGAATTTTTTCTTCCAAGCATTCTAGCTACCTTCCTGATATGGCTGCTAGGAGAAGCAAAAACAAATTCTTCACTGGCATCGAAATGCCTTCTAAGTGCACTGTGGTATGATGGTTAATCTCATTTTGTAACCCAGGGGACAGAAGCAGGTTGCAGGGGCATCCCAAAAGGTGCTCACTCACTGTTCCCAATCAGATGTTTTTTCCAGGTCCTTGGGTTCTCACTCACCCAAGAATGGGTAGGAGACCCTAGTGGTGCTGATATTGTTCAAGTAAATATTGGACCAAAGAGCTTTGCAGAAAAGCGATTTATTAGAGAGAGAGAGAGAGAGAGAGAGAGAGAGAGAGAGAGCGCCAGCAAGCGAGCCTCCACACTGTTGTGGAAGGGGATCCAGAGATGAAGTCCACACAGGTAAGGGGCAGGGGGACTTTTAATCTTGGAGTTACTCTGGCCTCATTCAAGTTCTTGTTCCATAAGAGGAGTTCCCTTAAACTTCCGCTGGAGTGATTGATCTTTGACTTTGATATCTGATTGGCTGCCTGGCTTGCAATAAAGCTCCTCCTTCCAAGGCTTTTGGTGGGCTTTCTAATCAAAGGAAGCTCACCTGGCAGTCTACCTTTCCCGAGCGCACAAAAGTTAGACAAAGAACTCTAGTTCCTGGATGGGGAGGTGAGTGAAGCTATGGCCCCTGGGAAGTTCCTGCCTTTGAAACCACGCCCTTTGTGGACCCCGGAAGAGAAGTTAACATCGTCCAATTTCATCTATTTTCCTGCTCTACTGGCAACTGTGAGGCCAGGAAACAACTTTCATACTGTGTGTTTTTACATACACCAGGCACTCAAACAACCTTTTATTAATTGAATAAGAATTGTATCCCATTCAGTTGGGTATTGTTTAGGTGCTGTCCCACATATCTGACCTTTCTCATACAGTGGGTTTGATGAATAAACTAACATATTTCAAATTTAATTACCATGAGAAACTACAATAATTAGGGACAAGTGGACAAACTGAGGGTTGATCCTCTCTGACTTAAGGCCACATGTGTGGTTGTGCAGGTGAGATGCTTCAAATCTCTAGAAGCCTCAGCTGCATTGTAGTGGATGCGAATAATGCCCCTGGTCCTCAGAAGAGGTTCAGGAAACACCTACTGAGCCGTACCTGGCAGCCATGCTGACCTTTACTAGCCTTACAGATTTTGACAAGTTCTTTAACCTCCTAATTTATGAATAGGGGACACTGCTTCCTTAAAGGATTGTTGAGGATAAAATTACATATTATTTCTTCATAGCATTGTTTACAATTATGAATTTGGTTAGTGTCTAACACTGAAGTATGTACTTTTCATGAACATAAGAAGCATGCCTATTTTTTGCTTATCACAAGAGTAAACATTTTTGTAATGTGCCAGCTGTTGAGAAATATTTGTTAAGGAATGAATAAATGTCAATTAAATTATACAGAGTACCTGGCACATAACTGGAGCTAAATAAATGTTGGTGCGTTCTTATCCCTGTTCTATTGTTATTAAAGGTAAAAAAATGTCTAGGGAGAGATCGACAGCATTAGAACTGTTTACCACTTAAATCTATCTATATGCTTCTTTACAATTCTAAGAAAATAAGAAAGCGCCGGGCGTGGTGGCTCAAGCCTGTAATCCCAGCACTTTGGGAGGCCGAGGTGGGTGGATCACGAGGTCGAGAGATCGAGACCATCCTGGTCAACATGGTGAAACCCCGTCTCTACTAAAAATACAAAAAATTAGCTGGGCATGGTGGTGCGTGCCTGTAATCCCAGCTACTCAGGAGGCTGAGGCAGGAGAATTGCCTGACCCCAGGAGGCGGAGGTTGCGGTGAGCCGAGATCACGCCATTGCACTCCAGCCTGGGTAACAAGGGCGAAACTCCGTCTCAAAAAAAAAAAAAAAAAAAAAAAAAAAAAAAAAAAAAAGAAAATAAGAATATGGGATTAAATATCTAATGGTTAAAACAAGAAGTGCTGAGCCTTCAAAGCATCGTCTCTGGAACTGATTACATTTGTGTTTGTGACCATGCTCCTAGCCAGGCAACTGAACAAGTCTGAATTCTTTTGTAATTAATAACATCTGTAGCCATTAGCTACCTTATAAGTTGTTATAAGAATAAATACAACATTTTGCCACTGTGGCAGAGGTTTCCAAGTTGTGGCTTTATAGAACTCTAAGGACTGGCAAGCTGAGTAACATAAGCAACTGTATCACCAATATTTTAAAAAGCTTTTATGTTTCTCCACTTTATTAATAAACAAAGGCAAAAATACAACAGAAAAAAAGTCAATAACATGTATTAATATAATTTTTATGTATTTCCTCTTAAAAGGTTTTTCCCCTTCAATTTTTGTTGTTTTTTATTACTTATTTACAGTATATAAATTCTGGGACAGTAACTAATATATGGTAAGATAACAGTTCTAGTTACATCAAATCAGATATATTGATGTCTCCTTTTATAACATGATGACCTTAATGCTTTTTCATCACCTGAACAAGTTGAGAAGCTCTACCAAAATGAATCATGTGTTTATAATTGCAATTACAAATGCCCTTTATTTTGAATATACAGATAGCTAGGTTATTCAGGGTTTGACTTCATGGAGATTATGATCAAGTTAAAGAGACAAACCATATAATACACAAGATAAATACTAAAATCAGTGATATTAAATATGACTAAACTACATGGAATTGTATCAGAATTTAGCAAAATAAGATAGCATTGTAGGGAAGGGTAACCAGGAAAGCTTTGAAGTTTGCTAAGAATTTAGAAGAGCAAGGGAAGGTTGTTCAGCTGAGGGGAACTGCAAGAACCACCATTTTGAATTATTAAGGATCTTTTCAGCTTCTTAATGTTGGAAGGGCTTTATCTTTCCCAGGCAGTTATTCTATTTATATGAGGCATTAAAGTTTTTGGTGTATGTAGATTTTTCCCTTCATTACTGCATATTGCAAGTTTTGTGAAGGCAGTATCTTTTTTAAAATTTATTTTTCTCTCCTACAAGCTAACCTCAGGTCTCAAAATAGCAATCAATGGATGATAAATCTAGAAAGTATGAAAGTTAAAACTCAGGCCTAAAAATGAAGATTATTGTTTGCAGTTCTGCTTTTAGTATTTACCTGTGTAAGTTTAGATAAATTATCTAACTTCTATGAGCCTCAGTTTTTAAATCAATACAATGAGGATAATAGAACAAACCTCATGAAATTATTGATGTTAATAAAGTGCTTAGCAGTCTGATACAAGGTAGATATTTTTTCATTATTTAAATGAGTGGATTAACAAATAGATGCATAAAAATGTATAGAAATTAATAATATGAAGAATGGCTACTTTATCCATTAAATGATAAAAAATGACAAAACCTGGTAAAAATACTCAGTATGTTTACTAAAAAAGAAATCAGATGGCAAGAACTTCAACAATTACACATATAAACAAATCAAAATAACAAATGTTAAGTACATTTACTATGATTTTGTAAAATAATTTTAGAAGATAAAAATATCATAAGAAAATAGCACTGACCTAGAGGATGGGGAGAAAAGCAGATCAGAATATGTTAAGTAAGATAATAGAAAATGCAAAATGATAGACTACTACTCAAAAATGTTTTCAATTTCCTTTAGACTGGAGCGATAATGGAATTGCAAAGGCAAAGCCCATGTTGCTGGAGGTGGTAGAGAGCTGTCTTTTTCATGCATTTATGGAGCAGCCAGTAAGTTTAGAGGCTATTTTGGAGTAAGTTCTAAGACTTAAACCAACTATGATGAATGAGACTGAACTGGGCAAACAGCTAGGGTTTATTGTTTACCATATCAATTCTTGGCTAGCAAAGCCAGATTTTTAAAGATTGTAGATTTTTTTAAACCAGACTTTGAAGAGATATGTAAGACCAAATGTAATTGAAGTAAGTGTCTCAACAAAATTCAGCACTGGAAATGTGTGAAGTTCTTAAGGATCACTGGAAAAGGTTGTATCAGCATACTCCCCTACCAACCCTTTCCCCTTGCATTTTGGTTTAAATTAAATGGAAGTTACACAATGGGAAATCAATATTTTGTTGTTCCAAACACTGCATTCACCTTGGGGGCACAACATTCATGTAATTGTAGTGGGAAATTCTTTTGAAGGGGAGTTGAGAACAGCTAGAAAAATGTTGAGACTGATCAAAAAGAGTAACCTCCTAGTACAGTGTTGTCTTTCTAAGTGAAAGTCAAAAAATTTGAAAAACAGAGGCCCTTATTGAAGCTGACACTATATGGCTTTAATTATGTCTTAAGCCTGAATGAATTTCTCGATTAAAGCCATAAATGCAACAAGACTTATAAGAATGAAACATGTTAAGAGGAAACTATATTCTAGTCTGCAGGTCAAATTCCAGGTGTTATCCAAAATCATTGACTAATTCCCCTTCACCATCCCAATGTGCACTACATTTCTAGAGCTTTCCCAAGCATTCCTAAAAAACAAAAATACGTATAAAATAAGTTAGAGTTTTAGTTTCTAAAACAGCAATCAAGTCCAGGGATACCATCCTCAAATGGTTTAAATAATTCTGTTAAGGCATCCAATTCCAA